AACGCATCAATAATACTTGAATAACACACAATAATTTCTGAAAAACACACAATAATATTTATGCCCCGTTTGGGGCAGCTTATAACTGCGATTGGAATTTTGAAAATGCCGCTGTCGTGTTTGTTTCACGCGTTTTCATAACTTAAGAGAGAACGGCGTTTCCAATACTTAATAGATGCGACCGCGGGACTGACCCCCGCGGTCCGCGTCTTCGATCCGCGTCGAGCGGTTTTTTACTCGCATGCCCTTCTTCCGTCGCCTCGCTCCCTCACCACTTTCGTCCGCTCCTCTACTTCTTTCCCGCGATCTCTTTCAAGTTCTTTCCCGCGATCTCTTTCAAGTTCGTGGAAAACGACCAAAGGTTAAGCCCTCCCCTCTACCTTCCGCTCCTTCTCTAATTCTTCCCCGCCATCTCTTCCCATTTCATGGAAAACGATGAAGCAGAAAATGTAAAAAAAAAAAAATTTTCTTATCATTTTCTCTCTTGTTCTCAAACAATCTCTTCAAAATCATTTTTTTTTCTTATCATTTAACAGAGGGAAGAGTTTGGAGGGGTACAGTAAGGTGAAGGGGGAAGAGAAGGAGATTGCACCTGTGAGGACGAGCTCCATGAATCATTCTGGTTCAAGGCCATAGCTTGACCTTACTGCGACAGCAATTAAGAGTAATTCGGAGGAGAGGAACCCCACAATTTTGCTGCCTAACCAGTCTGATGGCATCCCTCACGTGGCCCTGGATGTCCTTTACATTGCCATGGTTGAGCCATTCAGCTTGTTGTTTTAAAGTGGATACTATTGCCTTCAACTTCTATGCTGAGAACATTTTCTTATATTTTTTTATTAGATTCTGCACTGTTTATTTTAATTTGGTGGCATGTGTATCTTCCGTAATGTTATTTTGCAAGTCAAGCATGTGCATACATGTATGTAAATTTCCATAATATTATTTTGCAAGCAAAGGTTCGTATCGGCCTGCTAGTGCGTTTCAGGAGCTTATCCTGAAACGCGGCCCACGGGCCGACCATAATATCACGTGGCCGCGGGAGAAGTTCTTCGCCGGTACAATCACCACAATACTCCAATAAAGAGGTGTCACATATACAACGATACCGTAATATCAACTGACACCTAAAGTTAAATATTTTCATTCTCACCGTAATACCAACTGGCACCTAGAGTTAAAATATTTTTTACCACGGCTCATTACTAATATTTTTAGCAGAGAGCCCGACAAAATATCCATCCGGGATCTGAAGAGCCACAACTAG